GCAGCGAGGAGGTCATTTGTCTGAGTCAGTATAGCAGAGTCAGGCCTAGAGCCCAGATTTCCTGGCCCTGCTCCCAGGGTTCTCTCAGAAGGCCATGTTGTCCCTCTCCCAGTCAGTTCACTGTTTCCAAGCCCAAGAAGTGTGGCCCTCCAATGGGTTCCCTGATGTCTAATTAAATTAAAATGAAAAAGAACAAAGTAGATGTTTGTTACAAACTTAAAAATCAGAAGAAAAGAAAAAAGGCTTTGAGGAACCAGCTAACAAAAGTACAAATAACTGAAAGTGATAAGAACGTAAAAAATTAGAATTCAGAACATCCTTGTAGGCCTGAGGGATCAGTAAGTAGCAGACCAATTAAGTTCAGGAGGTGGCCAGCCATGGTGGCTCACACATGTAATCCTAGCACTTTGGGAGGCCAAGGCAGGAGCGCTTGAGCCCAGGAGTTCAACACCAGCCTGGACAACATAGTGAGACCTGATCTTTAAAAAAAAAAATTAAAAAATTAGCTGGGCATGTTGGCATACACCTGTAGTCCCAGGTACTCAGGAGGCTGAGACAGAAGGATCACCTTAGCTCAAGACATCGAGGCTGTGATGAGCCATGATCATGCCACTGCATTGTAACCTGGGTGACAGAGTGAGACTGCAACAGGAACAAAAAAAAAAAATCAGGAGGGGAACATTCAGATAAGAGAGAAAATACACTAGAAACCATTTAGGGACTCATGCAAGTGGCAATCACTGTACCAGCTAAGTACCTCATTCATTCAGAGGCCACCTACAGGGAAGCAGCGGTGGAGGTGGGGGAGGCCAGAATGCCAGTGCCAGGACCAGACCAGCTGAACTCAAATCCTCACTCTGTATGCTAGCTAGCTGTGTACCCTAGCTAATTTCATAGCTTCTCTGTGATCACTTTCCCTATTTGTAAAATGGGGATCATACCTTATTGGGTTTTCTGAGAATTAAAGGAATTGAGACATATGAAGCACTTACAACAGGGCCTAGCTCATAGTAAATATTCAATATATGTTAGGAATTGCTACTACTACTATTACTACTTATGCTGAGAGATGAACTTTATTTTATTTTTGAATCGGAGTCTCTCTGTTGTCTAGGCTGGAGAGCAGTAGCACACTCACGGCCACCACAGCCTCGACCTGCTGGGCTCAGGTGATCCTTCTGCCTCAGCCTTCCAAGCAGCTGGAACTGCAGGCATGTACCACCATACCCGGCTACTTTTTTAAAATTTATTTATTGTAGAGGCGAGGTCTTACCAAGTCACCCAGGCTGGTCTCAAACTCCTGGAGTGCTGGGATTACATACAGGCTTGAGCCACTGTACCCGGCCTGAGAGATGAACTTTAAAAGACAGTGTAAGCCAGGCATGGTGGCACACCCCTGTGGCCCCAACTACTCAGACATGAGTATTGCCCGAGCCCAGGAGTTTGAGTCCAGCCTGGGCAATCTAGTGAGACCTCTGTCTTCTAAAAAAAAAAAACATTGTTCAAAAAAATAATGTAGACAGCCGGGCTCGGTGGCTCAGCCTGTAATCCCGCGCCTTTGGGAGGCTGAGGTGAGTGGATTGCCTGAGCCCGCGGGTTCGAGACCCGCCTGGGCAGCGAGACCTCATCTCTACAATAAACCAAGAAATCAGCTGGGTGTGGTAGCGCATGCCTGTAATTCCGGCTACGCGGGAGGCTGAGGTGGAAGGATCACCAGAGCCCAGGAAGCGAGGCTGAGGTGGCCGGGAGTGGCCACTGCACTCCAGTCTGGGCGACTGAGTGAGACTCCAACTCAAAAAAATAATAATAATAATGTAATGATGGAAGAGCTGAAGTATGGAAGAAATTGATGTTCTCAGTAAAAAATAAGTGATCATGTGAGGCTGGAAGCTGGAATTCACAGTGGAATCTGAGGCTGGAAAGACTAGCTGGTGCAGACTTGGGAAGGGTGTCACGGCCATTCTAGGGGACCTGGACTCACTCAAATTTGACAAAGTACATAGGGTGGCAGAGCCAAGCTGGAGGGGAGAAAGCAGGAGAACCCATTAGGCTGTTGCAGCCCCACCCCTGGTGAGGATCATGAGGCCAGGAGTTGGGGAAAATGGCCAAGTTGTTCAGAAGTAGACTGGTAAGGCCTGGAGACTGCCAGGGTCAAGTGGTTTGCCAACCTGAAGGCCACATAGCCTGCCAAAAGCTCATCTGATCAGGGTTGGGGAGAAAAAGAAAATCCAAGGCTTCTTGGGAGAAGAGAGGGATAATTTGACCATTAGAAGACAAGAATAGCCGGGCTCGGTGGCTCAGCCTGTAATCCCAGCACTTTGGGAGGCTGAGGTGAATGGATTGCCTGAGCCTGCGGGTTCGAGACCACCCGGGCAACTTGGCGAGATCTCGTAGGCTACAACTCAAAGGAGGAAAAGCAGGGCAACAGCCTGGGTGACAGAGTGAGACTCTGACTCAAAAAAACAAAAAAAGACAAGACCAAGGAATTTATTTTATTTTTGAGTGGGAGTCTCACTCTGTCGCCCAAGATGGAGTGCAGTGGTACACTCATGGCTACTGCAGCCTCGACCTGCTGGGCTCAGGTGATCCTTCTGCCTCAGCCTTCCAAGTAGCTGGAACTACAGACATGCATCACCATGACTGGCTGATTTCTTAATTTATTGTAGAGATGAGGTCTCGCCAATTTGTCCGGGGTGGTCTTGAACCCGTGAGCGCAGGCAATCTTCTCACCTTGGCCTCCCAAAGTGCTGGGATTATAGGCGTGAGCCACTGCGCCCGGCCTAATTTTTTTATTTATTGTAGAGACGAGGTCTTGCCAAGTTCCCCAGGCTGGTCTCGAACCCCTGGGTTCAGGCAGGCCTCTCGCCTCTGCCCCCCAGAGTGCTAGGATTACAGGCATGAGCCACCGCACCTGGCTACTAAGGGATTATTAAAACAGGAAACCTTAGAATAAAGATGTTCCCTTCTGAAGTCAGCCAAGGAAATTAATGCTAACTTGTGGCACGTAGGATTCAAGTTAGATATGAGGAGGAACTGCTAACCACGTGACAATGTTATAGTTATTGAAGGAACACACAAGACCTTATTCTAAAACTGAACTTCTTGCCCCTTTTTAAAAGTACATCATAACTAGGATGGAAGAAGTTAACAAAGTTCTGGAAGTAGCTTTCTGAAGAATTTCAAATGTATAGAAAACATTTTTAAAGTGTTAGGACAATTTAAATGAGTTCTAAGTAATCAGTGCTCAAGAAGCTAGGTTATTACTGCCCATCTTGACTGAAACATTAGGGCAACAGGCTTACAAGCAAACTCAGAACAATGAGATAAACGATAGGCCAAAAATTCCAAGAAATGCTGAGTCAGGAGAGCGTTTTTAAGACATCTGGCCCAAGAAAATCTACTTAAAGCACAAGGGGAACTGGCTGGCAATTTCTAAGCCTTTGGTGCTTACATTTATTTGAAAGCTTGGGGAGGGTCCGAAGGGAAAAAAACACGGGGTGGGGGGGAGAGTTGGGAGGCTGACTGTTGTCTCCTCAGAAGCTGGGATGCTGCTTGGACCCCAGAAAAGGCAAACAGTATGAGAGATACAGCGTGCTTCAGGCCAAGACTGGGGGTCAGAGCAGGGTACAGAGATACCATAGCTGGCCAGCCACACAGCAGGGTGGCCAGAAAGCAGTGGAGTGAAAGGATCTCAGGCCCAGCGCCCTGAGGGGGGTGTGGAACCTCCCACCTAGGTATATACCCAACTAAGCAGGACAGCTGCTTGAGAGTACAGAGACTGCATTTCTACCCTCTATAGTAGGATGAGAAGTGGCCTGGGTCTGCACGGCCACTCCTGAGGACACCCAGAACGAATCACTTCATCCCTGAACCTCACACTGTTCCTCCTGTAGAAGGGGATTATACTTCACTCACAGGGCCCAGCATGGAGTCTGGCCAGTCACTAGATTTCCTCTTTGAACAGTTCTCTCCTGTATCCTCCTTTCTCACACAGGACTAAGAATCCTTCCTTGGTCCCTTTCACATCAATATGAGCAACATAAGGATTTCATCCAGTTTCAAGGCTTGGGCACAGAAACATCGTCTTCATTATTTCTCCTCTAGTCCTGTCCCCTTCCCTCTGAGTCTGTGGCACCCTTCCTATTCCACCCCCAACCTTGTCCTGGCACCTTAACTCATCACATAGAGCTGCCCCCTCGCATGTCAAGTCCAATCTCTCTTCTCCCCATCCTGCAGACTCACACCATCTTCTCACTGCTGGGAGTGGACCACGCTTATGTCACCAGTATTGGCAGACTCATTGGAATCGTCACATTAAAGGAGGTAAGATGATGACAGCCATGGAAGCCACTTCCATGTCCAAAAAGGCACAGAAGGTGATGTCCAGCTCACCTGGGGGAAGCATGGGGAGAGTTAGCAGGAAGCTCTGAGTCCAGACAGCTGACCCTCTCACCTTTCCAGCTCCGGAAGGCTATCGAGGGCTCTGTCACAGCACAAGGTGTGAAAGTCCGGCCACCCCTTGCCAGCTTCCGAGACAGTGCTACCAGCAGCAGTGACACAGAGACCACCGAGGTGCATGCACTCTGGGGACCCCGTTCCCGCCACGGCCTCCCCCGGGAGGGCAGCCCTTCTGACAGCGACGACAAGTGCCAGTGAACCCTCAGTGGGTGGCCTGGGATGGTGGTAGCCATGCCTGCCGGCCCAGAACCCACATCTCATATTTCTTCTGCCTTGGGAAGGCAGGAGGCAGTTGCAGCCCGAGGCTGGAGCCCCAGGTCCCCTCCAGACCTTGGGTGCCAGCTCCTCCCAGTTCATCCTACCTGGAATCTGACCCAGTGCCCACCTGCAGCAAGTTTTCCAAGGGCAGGAAGATCGGCACTGCCCTGGCAGGATGGGGGTGGGATCATCCGCGCCCCGCTCACCCTTTGAAGGGGAAGGGGCAGGACTAAGATGGATTTATACTGGAACCTTCAATGACCAGATGTATATAGAGATTTACAAAGATTTTTATATTAATTTAATAAAACAAATTCTTAAATAGAACAAAATAAACACCTAATGAGCCACTTATATAGAATGCTTGTACCCACTGGCTGTTGTTCTTACCTTGGGCCCTCTAACCTGCCAAAGCCTACAGGGCCCTAGTTCTGCAGCCACCCACTCTCCCACAACTGTAAAAATCTAGAATCCAGTGTCCACAGAATGCAGGGTCTGCCAGAGGCCTCCGCTGCCTGGTCATTAACACCCTAGCTGGGACGGGGACCCCTAGTACTGCAGCTCTGGCCCTTCATTCAGCCAAGAAAGGCACTACCCTCTTTCCTCCCCAAGGAGAGACACTCCCTCATGACTGTCACTCATTGGCACAATTCCTGCCTCTCAGCAGGCCACCCTGGCGGCCCCCTTGTGGCCCTCTCTGGAAGAGCATCAGAGTCACAGCTCTGACAAGACCAGAGCAACTCCGCCCTACAGAGAACACCACTGGAATGGGGCAGCCCAGCTGGTTGTGGGCCGCCAGGACACTGCCCAGACATCCTAGGAGGGCCAGGGAAAAGGGGAAGGGTACATGCTGTCATCATTCCAAAGCCTCCCAGAGAAGATCCGACTGAAAGAACAAACCAAAAGCCCTCTGTCTTTAGGAAAAAAGAAGAAGATTTAGAGACGATGGAGAGGTGAAGCACAGCACAAGCCCAGCTGGGCAGGGGCCTTGGGGAACGGCTCGATCCGTGGGCTCCAGGAGGGCAGGAGTCCGCCCCCCAGGGGAAGGGTGATTCTATCAAGCACTGCACAGGTGAGGAGGAAAGCAGAAAAGAGAGGCATGGGGAGGGTGGAGGGGGTGGCCGAGCCCCCTCCTATCCCAACCCCACATAGCCCAGTCACAACAACCCCCTCAGGGGTTCACGTCATCCGAGGAGGAAATGTGTGTGGCGTTTTTGATTTAAGAACATGAACATCACGTCTGCCACAGCTGTAGCCATGCCCCAGAGGCCCCGGGCAACCCCCGGCAAACCCCAGGAGTGGGGACAGGACATGCGCCCCCAGCCTGGCCCCTGCCTCCTCTCCAAACACTTTCATGCAAAACACACAACGGAGAAGTGAGTGTTCCCAGGAGCCCTCTGGGCTGCAGAGCTCTGCTGGGAGCCTGGAGCCCACACTTGGGCACGGAGGCTCTGCCCCAGCAGCAGCCGAGGGATGCATGCCACCACCAGCAGGATGTGGGTCACTGGTCCTCAGGCTCTGCCTCGTCCTCGTCTAAGGACACCACCCCAGAAGAGGCCACGTCAGAGGCTTGCCGCTGCTGTTCCCAGCTGCCCACAGGTGGTGGGCAGAGTGGCTGGCAGTCCTTGCAGGGCGCTGGCTCCTCCTCAGTAGGGGAAAGGCAGGACTCCGTGAGGGGCGAGCTGTAGAGCGAGTCCTGGGCCTCCAACGGGCCCAGGCTGCGAAAGGCACTTTCCCGGCTGGGGGGCAGTTTGGCAAGAAGCAGCTCATCGCCCAGCAGCTGGGAGGCCAGCCGGGCCGGGGAGCCCAGCAACCCATCCTCCAGGCTGCACAGACTCGAGCACAGGGTGTCGGGGGACACGGTCTGGGAGCAGTCGCTCTCAGGCTCCACGGAGCCCTGGCGCACAGGCCTGGAGAACCGGCGGCCGGTGAAGAGGTCCTGGAGGTGGGGCCCCAGGGGCAGCTGCCCAGCCAAGTCTGCAAGGGGGAAAGAAAAAAAGACAGCTCTGCTGGCCCCATTTCAGTTGGCCAATCTGGAAGCCACATCCCGCTCACTCCATCCCTGGCATAGCTCTAGGGATGGTGGACAGGAGCTGGATCACCTCAGACAAGTCACTGCTTTTTGAGGCCTGCTTCCTTACTAGTGAATTGGAGCTTCTAATAATACTTTCCTAATGGGATTGTAGAGAGAACAAGAGTCTGGCACACAATAAGCAAGCAACAAATGCAAGGCTGCTGTGTATGGTTGTTCACTGCACAAGAGAATCCTGTCCAAGGCAGTGAGTGACAGTGAAATTCAGCCCACACTCTGCTCACCAAGTAGCATGCCCTGGCATGGGGCTGTGCCTGCCAGAGAAAGGGATGCCTTTTTCTAATTTGTACAAAGATTCCACGTGGGCTAGTAGCAGCCTTGGATAAATGTTAGTTATTATCATTATCCCCAGAGTGAAAGCAGGCCTGGAACGCAATCAAACAAAAATGCCTGTGGCTCAGGGGTCCATCTAGGCTTCAGACATCCAAATCAGTCCCACACCCCACCACCACCACCACCACCACCACCACCTCGGTGGCAGTCTCCAACCTCCTTTAATGTGCTGCCTGCCTTGGAAAACATTAATTAGCCAAGGAGTAGGGCTGGGAGAGGTCATCTTCAAAGGCAAAGAGGTGGTAGGGAATAGTGGCCTGTGAGATTTGAACCCCAAAGCTACAGAGAAAGTCAGCCACGTGGTCCAGGGAACGGAAGATAAAAGGAGGGTTGAGCACAGCTGCACAGCCCTGCAGGGTCCCTTCTGCTAGCAAGCGCTGGCCCAGAGAAAGACCCAAAGGCTGGAATGCAAGTTGGAGCCAGCATGGCCCTGTGGGTGGTGTTCCCAGCCCAGCACGCCTTCCTGTTTACCTGGGGCCGCAGCCCTGTGTGGTGCCATCCTGCTGCCCTGTTGGTTCATCTGTCCCCCAGCCAGCCAGAGGCTGCTTCGGAGAGGGAAAGGCGGAAAAGGCAAGGGAGCCACTTACCCTCAGAGACTCGGCTGCACAAAACATGTCACCGAGGTCTCTGGGTTTTGTTTTGTTTTGTTTTGTTTTAGGACTGCAAGGCCCAACTGCAAAGACCGGCAGAGAAGGGCCAGTACCTGTAGAATAGAAATGACTCCATTTCTAACTGCCAATTTCCCTCACCCATGAGCATCGACAGGCCTCCTGTCCCTGAGTGTCAAGGCCTGCTGGACACTCTTCTCCCCTTTTTCAAAAGGCTGAGTGTTCTGGGCATGGCTCTGAATGAATTACAAGGCCTATCAGGCAGGCCCACTACAGCACTAGCAAGGGATGTCCCTCACCTGTGTCAGCTGCCCCAGCAAAGTCCTCATCATAGGAGTCATCGGTGGAGTCCTCACCATCCACCGAAGACCATGCCCGAAGCTTGGCTTCGGCAATGGCAAACTGCTCGGCCACACCTGTCAGGGGAACACAGGCTGCATTAGTCAAGAAGGTGAGCTAAGTCTAGGGTTCAGCTTGGAGACAGAAGAGCAAAGAGACAGGGTTAGAACTCTACCCCCCCAGATCAGACCCAAGGAGATGAGAGAAAGCAGCCCTGTGATGAGTATGTGGCTGGTCCCCTTTCTGCCACCCACCTGCTGCAAAGCGAGCCTCTTGTTCACCCTCACTGAGGTCCGAATAGGAGGAAAAGGCTGACTCCAGAGCTGCAGGTGAGTCACTTGGCTTGCTCCAGCCCTTCCACTCAATGAGGTGGGCCACTCGGCCCTGGGCCATCGCGGTAGGCTTGGTCACGTGGTCCTTCACCACCTGGGAAATGCCTTGTGACATGGGAGAATGGAGAAGTCTGGTAAGGGCATGGGCCAGGGAGTACCCAGGCAGGGAAGTGCAAGGGTGGCAGTAGTTAGGATCCATGTGTACCTTTGGGTGGGAGAAGGGATGGGATTCACCTGAGCAGGGGAAAAAAAGGGAAACCCCAGCAAGTGATCACAGGACACAGTCCCAAAGGGACTGTGCAAAAGGAGGAGAAAGGACAAAGTGCCAGAGGAATGGGAGGGGCTGCATACCATGCAGGGAAGATCTGGCCAGTGCAGCAATCTCCTGGATAGTTAGGGCTCTCCGGGACTTGGGCAGCATCGCGACTGTATCTCCAACATTCACCTTGGGTGACACCATTAGAAGGTCAGAGCCTCCCTAACATCAGTGACCTTCCCCCGAACACACCTATACTCTACCCAAGATGTCAGGAGGAGACAGGAGCTGAGAGAGAACCAGGCAGCACATATGTCCCAATGGCTGCTGGGAAACACAAGAGGACAAGAAGCTAGGACAGCAAACTATCCTCCCAGGGAGCTATGGAGACTCAGGTAGGCCAAAGGAGCTAACCCTCCACCTTCCCAGCTCCCAGAGGGGAAGGAAGCAGGTCAGGAAGGAAAGAGCCATTAGGGGGACCTCTGAGGAGAGAGAGGAGGAGAGAGGAAGAGGGGTATGGTATCCAGAACATCTTCAAGATCTGCTCCCTGGCAGAGCGTGGTGACTCAAGCCTATAATCCCAGCACTTTGGGAGGCTGAGGCGAGAGGACTGTCTGAGTCCATGGGTTCAAGACCATCCTGGGCATCATGGTGAGACCTTGTCTCTATAATAAATCAAAAAATTAGCCAGGCATGGTGACGCACACCTGTATTTCCAGCTACTTGGAAGGCTGAGGCAGAAGGATCACCTGAGCCCAGCAGGTTGAGGCTGCAGTAGCCAGGATCATGCCACTGCAGTCCAGCCTGGGCGACAGAGTGAGACTCCATCTCAAAAAAAAAAGAAAAATGAAAAAAAAAGATCTCCCTTTTGCTCTTCTCCTCCTCAGTCTTCAGATCCACATCCTAGCTGTTCCTGGACTGCCTGCCACAGCCACAAACTCGGCATGACAAAATCAAGCCCATCCCTTCTGTCTATGTCTGCCCCTGCTTCCTGACCTCCTTCCCTTGCATCACCCCACTATTCTCCCATGCAGCCCAGCTCCAAGCCTCAGTATCCCCATCAACTCTCCTCTGGGCTGTGCTGGGCCATTCTGAGAAATAGTGGTTCCACCTCCAAACTGCTTCTCACACTGCCCTCACCTCTTTACCCCTACTGCCACTGCCCTTCCCCATGCCCCCAGTGCTCCCTGCCAGATGAGCACAGGTGGTGTCCCCCAGCCTCCTCCAACGCTATGCTATCTTCTCATGCTCTCTTCTCAGCACAAATGTTGTGTGTGTAGTGCACCAGCTCTCCCCACTACCCTTCCCATGGCTGGCTCTTTGGGCTGAAATATCACCTCCTCAGAGGAGCCTTCCTGGCCACCCAACTTACTGGTGGTCCGTCTTCCCTCTGTAGTCTCTAACAAATCACTCCCCTCCACCAATGCACCCCATTTGTGGCCCTTAACCACAGTGTGATTATGGACTCCTTTGTGTTTCCCATTTCGGGTTGGCATCCCTCACTGGTCCTTAGCGCTTTGAGGGAGGCAGTCTGTGTTGGTCATGCTGTGCCCAGTGTTTAGAACAGTGCCTAGTACACAGCAATTTCAAATACACAGGCTGAATGGATGAGGTTAAAGTACACATGTAAACAATTTTCCCGAGTGCAACTGGTCACAGCATGTTACCAGTTAATATCCTAGTCAATATGTTTTCTGGGCTAAGGAGGTTAGTGCAGGCTTTGCACCCAGGAACTGAAGGACCCCGCTTTGTGAGATCCTAGCCTCTTTCCAAGCCTCCTTGGAATTTACCGCGAGCTCATCGGGCCAAAAAGAACCCCAGTTCTCCACCTGTTCTGTCAGCAAGCAGCCCACCTGCCTCCAAGAAAAGAAACCTAGCTTTCCCCGAGGTCAAGAACACCGTCCTCACCTGACAAAATGCTCGCTACCATTCAAGGCCTACCTCAAGTCCTACCTCCTAAGAATGCTTTCTGCCCACGGTCTCTTTCATTTGACACTGCATCCACTCCCACCATTGCCTTTGTGCATTCTCCTAAGGGCGCTGGGGATGGCACGGCCTGAGTGTGATCCACCTGGGTTCCTAACTCCACCCTGCACCTGGCTCAGTGCTCCCTGACAAGCCCCAGCAAATGTTTTCCTCAACGACGTTTCAGGCACACACCCCCTCCCCGGCACTGCCTAGCTCTCAGCTAACACGTTCCTACCCCTCACAAGAGCAGCCTCCACCTGCTTCTTGACCTCAGGCCCACCCTCAGGCCCTCCCCTTCAGTACCTGGCTGGCAGGGCCCCCAGGGTGGCGCCGGTAGCCTCTGGCCAGGCCTTGGGGGTGGAGCACCTGCTGGGTGTTTCCTGGCTGGCTCTCCCTCCGTCT